ATGGCCATCCTTTTAAATTTCAATGAGCAAAATGCAAAAATATACATTGCTATGAACGTAAGAGGTTTACTATGCATTACAACCCTTTTCAAATGTAATTTCAATTTTCTCTAGCTTTTAATTGGTTTTCTTGCTGCCTGAACTTTCCTTCTCATCTGCATGTCAGACTGATATTTTTTTCTTGAATATTATTCAGGATCCTTTGAGTTGTAGCAGAAATCTGACTCCAACTGACTTAACACAGTAAACTTTGAAACCAGAAAAAGTGAAAAGCACCATTGTGGAGTGGGGAGCAATAGCCAGGTGTAAGGTATCTGAATGGGGAATTGGTAAAAATGGGGGCAAGAGGTTTAATTAGAGAGGGAGAGTGAGGTAAATAGGAAGAGGCGAGGAGGGAAAAAACAGTAAGGGTGTGTAGAAAAGGGCATAGAGAAACATACTGTTAACTATCTACCAAAAGGACTAGTACTTCTAATACATGTAAATATATATACATATATATGTATACACACACTCACATATATATGTATATGTGTGTGTATATATACAATTTAAATGAAAATTGCTCATCTGAGTTAATAGCTTTCCCTACAAGAGTTATAGACTAACAAAAAACCTAACACCAAGCACAAGAAACCCTCCATTTTTTGAATTGTTAATAAGGGTTATTAACAATTCTGAAAACATTGCAGGCTATAGCTATTGCCTTTGGTTGACTCCCCCTAGGTAAAAATCAAGTCTTTATTGCTGAAGATACCATGCTCTTTGGATACGGAACCAATGGATCTGAACTATATCTGAACTGAAAACCTCCTCCCTGAGGACTAGCTTTCATGGTACCAGGAGGTGCTGTGCAAGCTTCCAAAAGAGGAAGTAACCAACAATCCTACCCAACTATGATGCCTGTGAACCACAACAATGACCAATATGGCACAGCAACTCTAAGGGTGCAATAGTGTCACTCATGCCATGGTGGTAATCAACAGCTCTCTAATTGGAGTTGAGACCTGCTCCACAAGAAAGATATCAATCCTGATGATGGAAACCTAGCCAAATACCTGGGGCTAGTGAAGTCATGGCTCTTGGAGAAGAATCTACAACCACCACTTCATTAAACTAGCACAATCCCTAACTGCATTATAAATATCCATCCTTAAACCCACAGATAAGTGTAGACCTCATCCTTCATAAAGGAAAATTCTCTTATCACCAGATGGAGACTATGACAGAAAACCACTACCAATAATAATGCAGTCTTGTGATGGCCAGTCCAAACGAATACATCTACAAAACTCCTGCACTCAAGGTTCAGGGTTCATTGAGGAAGGGGGCAGGGTGGAAAGATTTTTAGAACTAGAGGAACAGGAAGTTTGCTGTGAGATTACATCTCCTAGAAATGTCAGTGAAACTATACCATGTAGTGTCATCAACATGGCTATGCAAGATAAATCTTGAGTTACAGAATTCACAGCTTTTCATTCTATTCCCAGGTTTGCCAAGTGTTAGCTATAACTTTTCAAGTGTAACTTTAGTGTAACTTTTCAAGTGAATTAAATTCTCTGACCTTCAGTCTCCTCATCTAAGGTTTGGAGATAAAGATTCAGAGATGGTAGGAAAAAGAAAACATTCATAGCTACTTAATTAATGGCAGCTAATTAAAATGAAACGGACTCATCTATTTAAAATTGCTTTTATCTTATGTGCATGAGTGCTTGCCTAGTTATATGTTTATGCACCATGTGTGTGACTGTGCCTGTGGAAGCCAGAAGAGGGCACTGAATCCCCTGAGACTGGCATTATAGGTAATTGTGAGCTGTTATGTGGGTTCTGGGAACAGAACCCAGGTCTTCCAGAAGAACAATCTGTGCCTTAACTGCTAAGCATCTGTCCAACTTAGCTTTGGATACTTTTTACTTACAATGCTGTATTCTAGGATATTCCCATAAAATTTCTTACACCAAGAAGTTTACAGACTGCCAAAACTCAATTTCCTCATTTGCAAAATGAATTAATTACATAATTTGACTGACATGTCTACACAGAGACCACAAGGTGCTAGGAAGTTTTCTAGGCTTTGAAGATATGAGAGTGGTTAAGATAATGGCTTACTGAAGTTTTCATCCAAGTGACAGAAACTGAGAACAAATCAAAAGGAAATTGACTAGAAGAAATGCATGTTCCAGAAAGTAAACAATGCAACATTGAGGGCAGGAATTTTCCCGAAAATGAGGTCTGAGATTTTAGACATTAAGAGAAGACCTACTGGGGAAGTGACATTTGAAGTTAAAGAATAATTTTAATTGAATCCAGGGAGAGAAAAACAAAGCAAAGTTCTTGAGGGGGTTCAAGAGAAAAAGCACAACTGTGAGCAAGTGGGCAATAAGATGTGTTCATGCGTCGAGCTGTGTTGGGAGGGAAGCTCAATCCCGATCAATCATGTGTATGGGCTGATTATCTGCAATGAACAGTTTGGATTTCACTGTGAGTGACTGGAAGCTACTTATCTTTGTTTCTGTTCCAAAATCAAGGCAACTTACACCAGAAAGGATTTCACTGAGGCTTTGCTTACACTCTCAGAGGGTTAGTCCATGAACATCATGACGAGGAGCATGGTAGCAGCTAGGTAGGCATGACACTGGAACAGTAGCCGAGAGCTCACATCTGATTAACAAGTTTCAGGCAGAGAGAGATAGACTGCGCCTGGTGTGGGCTTTTGAGAACCCAAAGTCTATCCCCAGTAACACATCTTCTAGCAAGGCGACAGCTCCTAACTTTTCCCAAATAACTCCACTAAGTGGAAACCGAGCATTCAAACATATGAGTCTACAGGGCTCGTTTAAGCCACCACATTACTATAACATATACATACAAGAAATAGTGTGTTTTATGTTTTTAAATTATTGCCATGCTGTAGGGGAGAAGGAATGGCAGTGATTGCCAATCAGGAAGTCACATTAAGCATGTGGTGGTCTAGGGATGGAGGTGGAGATTCTGGTCATGTGATACTGGTTCTGAACAAGGTTGAATGGGCAAATTAGGATGAAGATGATGTTTTCAAGGGGACAGAATGGATGGTTTGGCTATAAGATGGAGGAAAAGAAACTCCTTTCAAGTAACTGGGTTTAATGTTGGGGTGATGAGTTCAACTGGAAATGCTTTTTAATCGTCCTGCATGAGAAGTCAGGTGGGAAATATGAATCTGGAAGGTCCCAGATGGAGATCAACTTCAGGTGCCTCTAGTAAATCTCCTGAACAGATATGATCACTTCAGGAATGATTTTACAGAGAGGAGGAACCCCGATACTCAATAGTCAGGGCTTTGCACTTGTATATTTCAAATAAAATATTACTTGACTTCAAAATGGAAGGTTGTGGTTGGCAGAACTATGTTTGTTCAGGCTGTGTGTGTATTTGTGTGTTTGAGGCCCTGGGATCTTGCAGTTGGTGCATTCTCTTCACATGCCACAACCCTTAAAAGGTTTGGGTTTGTGTTAGATTTAGAAATTCTAATAAAGAATACTAAAATCAGGTCTGTCCTATGTCCTCCCCTCTATGGTGTTTGAACATTTTCTTTCTGATGCTAGCTAGCCCAGGCATCTGAAGGCTTAGGTTGACTTCCCTGGTTCTCTTATGTGGATAACAGACTCAGAGATTTTTTTTGGTAAGATTCAATTAGGAAAACCGCAGATGGAATTATAGACTACCAGAACTGGAAGCTAACCCAGAGATGCTCTCTTATGGTCTCTCCCATTCTCTGAGAAGTGAATGATGATGCCTGGAAGGAAAAGGAGCTTGTCCAGGGTAACCTGGAGAAGCAGCTGTTATCTGCCTCAAGTTCTCTAATTGAACATGTGGTAGTACAACGTGATGAGAACCTTAAAGATTCTTTTGTACAGGAGGTTAACAGAGCCAACTTGGCAAAGTGAGGGGTGATGGAGAGAGTAGTAGAAGGACTTCTGAGGGTCTTCCTTACAGCTTCTTCCAGTAATGAGAAATTTAACTGTCAGTGGATGCTAGGATTTCTTAGCCTAGAAACCCCGAGTGAGCTTCAGAGTCCTGACTATCTAGACTCAAGATTCTGGGATTGGGATTAGGGAGCTGCACACTTGCTACACAAGCATGAGGACCTGAGTTCAGATACCTGGCATCCATGTAAAAGCCACTGTTGGTCTGCAAGCCCTGTGGTGGGAGTAGGGCAGAGGTAGGGATCCCAGATGTTTTCTTGCTAGCCAACCTAGCTGAATTGGTGAGCCTCAGTTTCAGGAAGAGGCTCTCAAAACACAAGGTTCAGAGTGATAGAGGACGCTGCATATCATCAAACTCTGGTCCCCACATACATGTGCATACACGTAGATGTGAGTCTGCGTTAGCACATGCAGATGGTAGGCAGGCAGGCAGGCAGACAGACAGGCAGGCAGGCAGGCAGACAGACAGACACAGAGAGTTTGATTCCTGGACTCCTTAGAAAGTGTAGTTGCATGTGCATGCACATTTCTGTGTCTGGGCAGAGAGTATTTACTAGCTTATCAAATAGCCAACTAAACATTTGTTGTTCATAAAAATTAACAAAACTTGAGAAGCCTCTTAGGTAAAAAATACTTGACCATTTTAGGTCATGGACCATTTTAGTTATAGCAACATAGTTACCTATTTTCACTAGCTAGTGTGTTAAGGTAGATCATAGAAATAAACTATGCTTCTGGGAAGAATGAAGAAAAACAAGTAAGTGGATTAATGAAGAGCAAAGAGAAGTACCTATATATTTTCATTCCAGGAGATCAGTAGAGCAGAATCTTTCCGTGGCACTCAGCAAAATGTGCCTCATGCACCCAACCTCCATGAGCTAGTAGCTTTTCGATGTAGTTATTTAATCATTTTGCAAAGTGAAAATCCCAATCTATAGTCAGCAATACCTACTTGGCATTTCCTTCCTGTACTGAACACCTTTATTTTGTGTGTTGTGTATTACCTTCCTGCCTAACATCTTATTTTACTTGCAGGATCCTGTGGGCACTGAAATTCGACATACTCATGCCCATTTCCTGTAATGGACAAACTTGATGCAAATGTGAGGTATGGTACTTTCTGCATCTATTGTGTTGCTGAGTTTGGGAGTGTGTGCTAGACAGCCTCAGTGAATCTGTTGCAGTGGAATTACAAAGCTAAAATGGATGAAAAGCTTGGCTGTTTCATGCATAAACCATGAGTATGGCATACCGTTTGATTATTATTGCTTTATTACTGTGCTTAAATGATAAAAACTGAGCTGTTAGTGTTTTTAGCTGTATGAACCAATAGACACCACTTAAAGGTATACACTCATTTCTGCATTAAGAAAAAGATGCATTCAAATAGAATTAATGTGGCTGAAGATGATCTATCTGTTGCTAAACCTCGGTTGTAAATGCGATAACTTCATCTAGCAGGTCTTGGTTTCCATTTTCAGCTAGGGCATCGGGTCATGGTTATCTGATACCCATTGTTAGTGTGCTGTGTGGAGTTGTTAACCTAAATACTTTGCTGTTGCTGTTCTTGTAATTTTCTGTAATCCCAGGGGATGGGATGTTCTTCCTAGGGGTTTGTTCTGATTTATTTGGCATTACCAAACAATGTGAAGAAAGTTGTATTTAAGGAGGCTGACATGGTCTGCTTTTTTTTTAATATAAATTTTTATTTAAATTAGAAACATCTTATTTGGGCTGGAGAGATGGCTCAGCTGTTAAAGGCTAGGCTCACAACCAAAAATTTAAGAAACAATCTTATTTTACATATCAATCCCAATTCCCTCTCCATCCTGTCCTCTCATATCCCCCACCAACACCCCCAATCCCATCCACTCCCCAGGGAGGGTGAAACCTCCTACATGGGATCATCAAAGTCTGTCACATCATATGGGGCAGGGCCTAGGTGCTCTCCTATGTATTTAGGCTGCAAGAGTATCTCTCCATGGGGAATGGGCTCCCAAAGTCCATTTGTGCACTAGGGATAAATACTGGTTCCACTGCTAGAGGCTCCATAGTCCCAGGCCTCTTAACTGACACCCATGTTCAGGGGACCTGGTTCGGTCCTATGCTGGTTCCCCAGATATCAGACTGGGGTTTGTGAACTCCCACTTGCTCAGGTCAGTTGTCTCTGTGGTCTGCTTCTATAGCGCTTGAGGCTGAGGATATTCCATAGGTAACTGTAGTTGGAAGGCATCCTAAGGTCACATGTCTTGTGAAACCGCAGGAACCTTTTTTTTTCTTTCACATGAGACCAGTGGGGAAGTACGTTCCAGGTATAAATCAGGGGTCTGTCTTCTGGATGCTGTAGTAGAAACTGTGACAGCTGGCTTGACAGGAGCTCTGGCTTGCTTGCACTGTCTGACAAAGTTGGGCTCTCATTTCACCAGAGGATCCCTGAAGGGCTGAGTGTGTCTCACAATACAAAAAAGCATCCCTAGCACCTGATGGGTACTGAATAAAGAGATGTTGATGAGCTAGTCATCAGTGTACATTGCATACTTCAAATAGCATTGTGTTCCAGTCCACCTAGATATAAAAAGGGACTATTTAGCAACAACATATTTTACGCTCTCAGTAGAAGACATGGTGGACTTTGTTATTTACCCAATAGTAAATAACTTGGTGTGGTTCCAAGACTCCACACGGGGTTTTAAATCTACTGGCATGTGTTTTACTTCCCTCTCAAAGCTTGTGAGGGAGGGTATTTATGCAGAGAAAACATAGTGAGATCCAGAGAACCTCAGTTTTCATTTGTTAACCAAAAATCCAGAGTGGGAAATACTGATGGAGCAACATTACCAAACAGCTTTAAGTTCTAAACATTGGATTAAACAGGGTCAGATAGTTAAAATTGACTGCTGGGAGAGGGGGTGATAATTCAGACATCATGATCCCTTGCGTTGCTAGCTTTTAGACATTTATTTATAGCAGCATTAGCTTTGGATGGCAAAATAGATTCTATCAAGTGAACATTAGCTGTTCTCCTGGGATACTGTGGAACAACGGTGTGGGATTCAAGATGATATCACACTCCAGAATGTTGTCTGTGGACTGTTCTCTCAGTCCATTTTCTAACCGGATCCTATCAACATATGTTCATCCTTACCCACTCCCCCTCTCTACCCATAATATTAGTAACAGGCAAATGTCACGGACTTTCTATTCATTTCCTGTGTAGTACAGCCTCTGAGTGTCCATACAAAAAAGGACATTTGGCTCATATTTGCCTAATTGTGATGCATGTATCATTCGTAATTTATAAGAAACTTAGGTGCTATACCAACAATTTCTTAATTATTACAGAGATCAATATTATTTTGTCACTTATCAAGTAAAATAAATTTCCTTTTTATATAAATATTTTTCAATCTGGAAGTGAGTTTATGTAAAGAAAAATGAAACCCGGAAATAATTATTAATAAATTAATATAAACAGCCAATGCTTCATTTTAAAAAATGATGCTCTAGAATGTTCTAGGTAGAGTTAAAGAGATGGATAGAGTTAAAGAGACAGCAGAGGTTACACATCTGTCTGGGTAAATATCAAAATATCATTTGAAAAAAGAGACAACTGGGGGAAATTTCAGAAAAAAATTCACTTTCATGGGCAGTAAGATGGAGGAACTCCAATAAACTCTCACAAAACATGAAAGGACAAAGAAATCTTTGGTGGAATTTAGAGCTGAATATAATGTCTTACAGTTTGTTAAGCCCTATTGAGCATTTCAGCTTTTGTTCATTTATCTTCATTGAACTGAATTTGCTTCTATGGCTTGGCCTTTGCTATTATCTATCTGTCAGAGTTCTTGGCTAATAGCATTGGGACTAACCTCGGCAAATATAATCAGAGGCAATCTGGGACAAGCTATCATGAGGTTTAGAAAGTTAGGGCCAAAATGTTAGAAGACCATGCTTAAAGATGGACAAAGACTTGAGGAATTGTGGAAGAACCCAGATAAAAGATATACAGTGATGTTCTTTGTGTATTGTAAGAAGAATAAGAAAAGAAGCACTAGATCTTGCTTATAGAGGCATGAACTGCAATGAAAATACTTTCTCCCGAAGGCTCCCCAACACAGAAAACAAGATTGTAGGATGCTCCAGTCAGGATGATGCACCACAGGGAATCAGGATCTAGAGAGTGTGTTCTGATGAGGTCTTCCTTTGATAACTCCTGTCTCACAAGTTTTAAAGTCAGATGACAGCTTTCTCTTTTTCTTTTTTAAAAAATTTAAATTAGAAACAAGCTTGTTTCACATGTCAATCCCAGCTCCTTCTTCCCTCTCCCCCATCACCCTCCCCCACAAGGCCACCCAGTCCCCCACCCAATCCCCACTCCAATCCCCAGGGAGCGTAAGGCCCTCCATGGGGGATCTCCAGAGCCTGTCATTTCATTCAGGGCAGGGCCTAGGCCCTCCTGCAAGAGTACAGGCTGAGAGAACATCCCTCATTGTAGGATGGGCAGCCAAAGTGTATTTGTATGCCAGGGATAAATGCTACCCAAGGCCCCATAGATTACCTAGGCCTCCTCACTGACACCCACATTCAGGGGGTCTGCATCAGTCCTATGCTGTCCACCCAGCCATCAGTCTGGGGTCCAAGAGCTCCTCCTTGTTCAGGTCAGCTGTTTCTTTTTTCCCCCCCACAATATGTTTTTATTTAAATTAGGAACATGAATGCTTCACATGCCAATCCCAGCTCCCTCTCCCATCCCTCCTCCCTTGTCCCTCCGCCAGTTCCTCTCCAGTCCCCCACCCAATCCCCATAACATTTCCCAGGGAGAGTGAGGCCCTCCTTGGGGGGAATCTCCAAAGTCTGTCATTTCATCCAGGGCTGGACCTAGACCCTTCCCCATGTGTCCAGGCTGAGAGAGCATCCCTCTTTGTGGACTGGGCTCCCAAAGTTCATCCGTATGCCATGGTAAACACTGATCTACTACCCAAGGCCCCAGAGATTTCTGAGGCCTTACTGACACTACATTCATGGAGTCTGGATCAGTGCCCTGTTGGCCTCTCAGTCGTAAGTCTGGGGTTCTCCCACTTGTCCGGTCAGCTGTCTTGTGGGTTCCACCAGCATGGTCTTGATTCCTGTACTCATCACTCCTCCATCTCTGTCACTGGGTTCCAAGAGTTCAGTTTAGTGTTTAGCTGTGGGTATCTGTCTCTGCTTCCATCAGTCACTGGATGAAGATTATTCTCAAGGAGGGGCCGTTAATGTAGTCTCTCCACTACTGCTTAGTTTGCCAGTTGGTGTTATCCTTGTAGATCTCTGAACATCTCACTAGTGTCAGCTCTCACCTCAAACCTATAATGACTCCATCTATTACGGTATCTCTCCTGCTCTCCTCTATTCTTATCTCGACTCATTCCTGCTCCCCCCATGTCTTCTTCTCCCCTCCTCTTATCTCCCTCTCTTTTTCCTGGTTCCCTCCCCCCCCCATGTTCTAACCTGCTCATGAGATCTTGCCTCTTTCCACTTCTTTGGGGTATCATACATATCTCTTGGGAACTTCCCTGTTACCCAGACTCACTGGCACTGGGACGGTAGGCTTATACTCCCTTGATCCATATCTAAAATCTATATATGAGTGAGTACATACCATGTTTGTCTTTTTGTGTCTGGGTTACTTCACTCAGGATGGTTTCTTCTAGTGCCATTCATTTGCCTGCAGATTTCAAGATTCCATTGTTTTTTTTCCCTCTGAGTAGTACTCCATTGTGTAAATGTACCACATTTTCTCTATCCACTCTTCAGTTGTGGGACATCTAGGTTGCTTCCAGGATCTAGCTATTACATATAATGCTGCTATGAGCATAGTGGAACAGACATCCTTGTTGTGTGAATAGGGAACTTTTGGGTATATACCTAAGAATGGAATTGCTGGGTCTTGTGGTAGACTGAATCCCATTTTCCTGAGGAATCTCTATTCTGATTTCCAAAGTGGGTGTACGAATTGGCACTCCCACCAACAGTGAAGGAGTTTTCCCCTTTCTCCACATCCTCTCCAGCATAAACTGTCATTAGTGTTTTTGATTTTAGCCATTCTGACAGGAGTAAAATGGTATCTCA